CGCGCACCTCCCGGGCGGTGCTCTCTCATCGGCGCCCACACGGCGCGCACCGCGCAGCCGCCAAGTCGACGCTGGCCCGCGCCGGAGCTCCCCCTAGCCATCCTCTTCGTGCCCCCCCCTCCAACCGAGGAGCTCAGGCCATCCTCTCCGTGCCCCCCCCTGGCCATCCTCTCCGTGCCCCCCCCCTGGCCATCCTCGTGCCATCCTCTTCGTGCTCCCCCTGGCCATCCTCTCCGTGCCCCCCCCTCCAACCGAGGAGCTCAGGGAAGCAGCTCCTGGGAGGTGGGCGGAAGAGCGCCTCGGGGCTCGCAGGCCCAGCCAGGGGTCGGAGCACATGGGCCCGCAGGCGCCTCCGAGCCGCCGCCGTCTCCCCCTCCGCCTGTCAGGGGCAACATGAGTGAAGGGGCCCCAGGACACACAAGTAAATACACACAAATAAAGATATTTCCCATGTTCCGATATTTTCTGGGTTTCTGCCTTCCCCCCACTTCCCATATTTTCCCATATCTTCATGGGGAGTCGGAGATGAATTGTGTCTGTGTGTGTTTTTCCCCTCCTGCATGAGGGGGTACAGGCTCAGGGGGAAATGCCTGGGGAGAGGCTGTTTCTTTTCCCGCGAGGCTTTTTTTTGTTTCCCTCGGAGGCCTGTGGCTCCAAGCCCCGGGAGGCATCGACCCCTCCTGGCCCACTCATCGCCGACAAGGGCCCAACCTTCCCAGGAACGAGCGGCTTCGCCATCGGCGGCCGACCGCCGATCTATCGGCGATGCATCGCCGACTCCAGGTCGATGCCCCTCCCCCTGAGCCAGTCCCCCCCATCTGGCGGCGCGCACGAAGGGGTGGGGGCAGGGGGGAAGGCTTCTGAGGAGGAGGCTGCTTACTAGAAGGCGCCGCCCCCCGCCTTCTGGGAAGCAGGGGTGCCTCTCCGAAGCCCTCCCCCCTCCCCCATACCCTCATCTCCCCCTGAGCCAGTCCCCCCCCCCGTTCCCCTCACATCCCCCCTCTCAGGGTGCAACTCTTGGGTGGGGAAACCGAAAGGTACCGATACCGCCACTCCCCGGACCTCTCCTGGGGTGCGTTCTGACCAGAATTTCGAGGCGAATCCAGCGGTGGCGACGAGTGAGGTCCAGGAGGCCGAAAAAGGGGAAAACGAGGCAGATTCTCAGGGTGCAACTCCTGGGAGGTGACATCCATCCTTCCGGAGAGGTGACATCCATCCTCGGCACAAAAGCCCGCTTCCTCCTGCTCGATCGCGCTCCATCCCGCTCAAGTCGGGCCTCATACAATACCGCCCACCGGAACAGGGGGCCAGCCGAGACGACGTTGGCTCTCCCGCCAGGCCCGCCTCCGCTCAGAATCGACCCCCGCACCGCTCCTGGACCTCCTCGTCCTCGTCCTCCTCCTCCTCCTCGTTCTCCTCCTCCTCCTCCTCCTCCTCCTCCTCCTCCTCCTCCTCCTCCTCCTCCTCCTCCTCCTCCTCCTCCTCCTGCTCCTCGCGGTCCAGAGAAGCTGTCAGCTCGACTTGTGGGCTGAGAAGGCTGTCCTGACGGCGGCCCCAAGCAGAGCTCCCAAGGCCAGTGGAGCCAGAATGGTGCTGCTAATACACGAGCTTGACCTCATCGAGATTCGAGGGAGGCTCATGTGTCGACGATGCCGTCGCACGGCGAGGACCGCTGAAGCACGCCGACAGTTGACGGGAGGCACGGATCGACGGTGTGTGCCTTCCACGATTTCCAGAATGCAGGCAAATCTGATCGAGGCTGCCGCCAGTGCCGCCGCGAGGCCGCCGACGGCCCGCTGGGGGTCTACGGGGGGGCTGTCTGGTGGGCCTGGGGGTGCTCGTGGGGGTGGGGCCTCGGCTGGGGCCGCTCCTGCTGAGGCTGGGCCCGGGGCCGCTGTGGCTGGGGGCTCGGCTAATTAGGGTGCGTTTGGGGGAGCCTGGGGCCGCCTGCGTTGGCGGGGCTGGGGCTTCTGGTGGGGCTGAGTCTGGGGGCTCGGCGTCTCTGGCCTCTGCGGAGGCCGTGTGTGGGGGGCCTGTGCCTGCCCGCGAGGGTGAGGCTGGGGCCCCGCTGGGGCGTGCTGCGGGCTCTGAGGAGCCTGCGGCGGCGGAGTGGAGTCACGCGCCTGGGGGACACGACGTCACCGCCACGGGTACGGTCGTCTGGTGTCGGCGGTGCGGGGCCTACGGGTTCGTCAGGGTGGGGAAGGCTTTCAGCTCCCCCTGCCCTGACCCCAAAGACTTGCCCAAGAGCAGGAGGTCAGTCCTCAGTGCTCTCCAGAGAGGCAAGCACCCCAAGACTGGGCAGTCCCTAACGGGGTGACTGGGTGTCTCGGGGTTCCCTTTTCCCTCTTAGAGTGGTGTCTGTGAGCAGACGCTTTCTCTTCAGTGCTTCCCTGCTTCCCTCCTCCTCCTCCTCCTCCTCCTCCTCCTCCTCCTCGTTCTCCTCCTCCTCCTCCTCCTCCTCCTCCTCCTCCTCCTCCTCCTCCTCCTCCTCCTCCCTCCTCCTCCTCCCATCCTGCCCGGTTCGAGGGCTGGCTCCGGCCGTGGCGACGACGAGCCTCCCGGAGGCCCAGAGGAGGACGGCCGAGCGCCAGGGAGGGCCGCCGTTGCCTCGACTGGCCCTCCCGACGACAGGGCGGGTCTCGGGCCACAACTCTCTCAGAAGGGGAAAAAACATACAGACACCATGACTCGTCGATTCCCCCGAAAATATGGGAAGATATGGGCAGTGGGGGGGAAGACAAAAACCCAGAAACTATGGGAAAATATGGAGAATCATATTATTAGTGTCTATTTTTTTGTGTGTCCCAGGGCCCCTTCACTCTTGGGCCTCCCGCGGCCGTTCGGGACGACCGGGACCCCGCCTGGGACGACGCTCTCGGCGGTGCGCAGCCTGCAGCGGGAACAGGCCTCCCGAGGCCGGAAGAGAAATCCCCGAGGACCTGCGACGACTGCCGAGAGCCTCCTCTCGGGAGCGAGGATGGGGGGCGAGTATTCCAGGGGAGAGCCACACGTGTACTCGGGGGCGCCGATGGTCCATGCCCTCGGCGAGGCTCCTGGGCGAATGCGTCTCATCATACCTTCCCCTGGGCTAGCGGCCCCTGTCCTCGCCTCCGAGCTTCCCTCTCCCCTCTCCTCCGAGACGGGCCCGGCCCCGGCAGGCCTTGCGCTCGCCCTCCCAGCTCGGCTGACGGCTCCAGCCGCGCCCCGCCGCCGCCTCGATCACGCCCCTCAGCTCCTCGGCGCCTCTGTGGGGGCGGGGCGGGGGGCCCGGCGGGGCCCCGCAGAAGGCTGGGCTCGGCTCGGCGCACAGGTGTCCCCGGGGCCCGCTTCTCCACGGCCCACTTCCTCAGTGTCCATCGCCCTCTCGCCTCCCCCTCCGCTCTCTTCCCATCCCATCCCCTCCTCCCTCCGCGCCCTCCTGACTCTCCAGCATCCACTCCCGTCCATCCCGGCCCCGCTCCCCCCTGCCTCCCTCTCGTTCGTCTCCTGCATCGCCCCTCCCTCCCCATCCCGTCCCTCCTCCCCCCCTCTCCATGCACCCTCATCCCTCAGCCCGCCCTCCCTCTGGCCCTCCTTCCCTCCCTCTCCCCCTTCCCTCCTTCCTCCACCCCTGGTGCCTCTTCGGCCTCCTCCCCTCGCCTCCCACTCTTCCCTCCCGGCGCCTCCCTGTCAAATCGCCCCTCCTCTCTCGCATCCATCCTCACTGCTCCCTGCTCCGTCCTTCATCTCCCCTCTGGCCATCGCTCGGACGTCCATTTCCTGTTTTTTTGTCGGTTTCGTGCGTGGCTTTTTCGCCAAATGATCAAGGATGCTCCTCGATGGTCCTCGCCGAAGGAAAAATGCACACGTCCGAGCGATGCCAAGCCCTCCTCCCCCGCGCGTGGCCGACTGCCGCATCGAGCGGGTGCCCGCGGGACGGGGCCCTGGGGGCCAGCGAGACGTCAGGGGAACAGCATCTGCGGCGAGGGCCAGACGCGAGGGCCGGGCTTCGCCTCGAGGCCGAGGCACTCGAGCGGCGGGGCATTTTGAAGTGAGGCACGGAAGGCGAGCGCCACGCACAGCAATAAAGTTGGAGGCCTAGAAATGGGCACCAACACCAACATGGGGGGGGATGCCAACACAGGGGAAGGATGACCCGGGATTTCGGTGTCGGTGGTAATATGTCGGTCGCCCCGGAAGCTTAGAATACTGCCAGCATCACCGAGATTGGGGATCTTCTCCCCCCTCGCTGGAGACACGCCGCCGGTCTCGGTGTTGGAGTCAACGATATAAAAATCGGGACAGCGGCAAAGGGTGGGCAGAATCGTCGCTCACGCGGCGACGACGCCGCGCGCGTCGCCCCGTGCGGCAGGCGCGCCGCCGCGGGGCACGCGGAGGCTGGAGCGCGCGGCGCGCGCTCCCCGTCCTCGCGAGCAGCCGCGCGGCTGCCGGCGCTGGCCGCACACGATCGGGTGCTTGCCGCAGCGTGCACTCCGCGCGATGTTCGCCAGCACGCCACGAAAACACATGTGCACGGACACCCGCCGACGAACTCTGCCTGCAGCTTCGGGGAGAGCGGCGGTGCTTGAAAAATCACTGGCTCGCAGTGGTGACTCATACATGACCGCCCTGCCCTGAGGCCCGAGAACAATCCATTGGAGGGTGTCTGTGTACACTCGGGTCGGGCGAAAGGATGGGATGGCAAAGAGGGGGTTTGAGAATCAGCTCGCGTAGCTGATTTTCCCAGCGCCTCCCGGCGCCGGAGGCGGCTATGTATCGAGGAATGGGCCCCTCGGTGAGGCCTAAACCAGCTGCATGCAGCAAATTTCGTACCCCCCCTTTCCAGCCCGATACACACTCTTGTGGCGGAGAAGGGGCTCCCGGTTCTCCCGGTCGCCGGCCACCCGCGGGGGTCCAGAGGGCGAGTCGGCCCACCGCGCCGGCGGCGGCGGGCGCGCGCGGGGCCCCTGCGGCTGTGGCACGGATGCGCAAACGAGTGGGTCGTGCGCTAGGGCGGGCCTGCCCTGGAGGGCCATTTCCGACGAAAAATAAAAAATACACCAAAAAATAAACAAAAAATAGCCAAAACATAGTTTGGGGACTATCTTTTGAGTATTTTCTGACCCTCTGGGGCTTTTTTGGGGCATCTTTCATTTTGCGTCGAAAATCCCCCTACAGGGGTCAGGCCCGACATAAGTCTTGCGCGAAGTGGCACGGCGACCTCCAGCAGTGGCTCAGTGACGCAGGTCGCCAGCGCGGCCGGCCACAGTGGGAACGACCCTGGGCACGAGCGAGAGGGCAAAAGTCCCCCCACAAAAGGGGGCAGAAAAGGAGGAGGTGGTGGTGGTGCCACGGTGGCATGGCAGCCAGTGCGTGCTCACAACTCTGCAGATTTGCGGGGGAACACCTCCAGGAGAAAACGAGTGACCTGGGTGCAAACACACAAGTTGAATTCCAACCTTCAGGCCATAAGGTGGATGTGAAGTACCAAGGGTCACGGAAGTGAGAGGAGGAGAGAGGAGGGAAAGGAGGAGAGAGGAGGGAGAGAGAGAGAGAGAGAGTAGGAAGGAACCAGGAGGCGGAGGAGACGGGAGCGCGGCCGTGGGGTGCCAGCTACCAGGCCCAACGGTCCAACCGTTCGGCGCGTGCGGCTCCAGGCAGGAGAATGCCCCCAAATCAAAAAGTCTGGGTGGAACCTCGGTAGCCCGCCCGCCCCGCCCCCCCCGCCCCCACCCTCCCACAGGGAGCGTTTGCGGCTTCGCACGGCAGCGCAACTGAATGAATTCATCCGCCCAGCGGGTCTGAGGCGAGCTGGAACCTCCAGGAAGACCTCCAGAACATTCAATCGCTTCGCTCATTCCGCCGGCCCATATTGTCTGCTCGCTTGTGTTTCGCCACCATGCCTGGGCTGTGGGTCAGAGGCCACTTGAATACATCAGAGTGAGCGGGCCGAACGGTCATTCACTGTACCTGAGTGCATGGCTGAAGTGGGGCCGCGGTGCGGAGTGTTGATGTTGCTGATGGTGTTGTTGTTGCTGCTGTTGTTGTTGATGCTTCTGTTGTTAGTGTTGGTGTCATTGTTGCTGCTGCTGCTGTTGGTGTTGCTGCTGCTGTTGTTATTGGTGTTGGTGTTGCTGTTGTTGTCGTCGTCTTTGTTGTTGTTGCTGCATGTTGCTGGGTTCTCATCTCCAGAGAAGTCTTGTTGATCCCCCCTGCCCGGTGATCATTACGTTTTTCAATTAAAGTCCGAGGGCTCGCAGCTTGTTCTTTAGAAGGGGAAGTATGGGGTCACCAAACTGGGTTGCTGGGCCCCGAACTGCAAGAACGACGGCTCCCGCCTGACACTTCCCCACACTATATGATTACATCGCATCGCGCTCTCGCTCGGGACTTACTCACAGTGTATCTTGGGGGGCGGAAAGATACGGATACGTGTTGTCCCCGGACCTCTCTTGGGGTGCGTTCTGACCAGAATTTCGAGGCGAATCCAGCGGTGACAACGAGGATTCCCCAGGAGGACCAGGAAAGGCCGAAAACGAAGGGGGACAACACGTATCTGTATCTTTTTCTCCCCCGAGTATCAAGGAAGCGCGCTGATCGACCAGGAGATGACAGCCCGGCGTGCCGTGCTCCACTGGCTGTCGGGCCTCGCGGCGCTCCTCTTGCTCGCCGTGCCGCCGCCGAGCCTCGGTGGCCCCGCGAACTTTGAGCTGTGGTGGCCCGCCTGCGTGTCGCTCCACCGCCATTTGGCGATGCGGTGGGCTGAGGGCCGGTCAATGGCTACCTACCAGACCACCCCAACCCAACCCGAAGACCCGAATTTCGGGTTGGGGGGGGTATGGGTTCCATACGTGTTTTTTGATGTTCCCCGACCCCCCCCCCACTGGAAATGGAGGGCAAATTGAGGCCTTCGGGTTGGGTTGGGGTGGTTTGGTAGGTGGTGAGTCAGGGCTTCGCGCCCGAGCGTGCCCCTGCCGCGGCCGCAGGCGCGCGCTCCCGTCCGCCGCGCCGGCCGCCTTGCCGGACGAGGCGATCCGTGGCGTGACGGCCTGCTTGGCACTCGCCAGGGAGGCCAGCGCCACCGCCACGTGGGCCAGCCATTTCTCGTGCACGGGCGGCAGGCGCCTGCACGCGCTGAAGTCGGCCATCGCGGGCAGGCAGGCCTTCGCGGCAGCGCATGTGAGCGCAGTTCTGCAGGAGCTGGTTCCGAACCGCGCGCCGTTGCGGAGCCAGGCCGTGCCGTACCCTCGGCAAGGCGGCCGTCGCGAAAGTCGGACAGGCCATCGCCATGGCCTACCGCGACGATCGGAACGCCACGCGGACCGCTGCGAACCAGGCCGGCCAGGCGCTCGGCCGCGGCGCGGCAACCGGGGTGCCGCCCGAGGATGCGATGCTTTGAGGGCCTCCCCGACGCGGTGCGCGCCGCCTTCGAGGCCCTTACCTACACGCAACTCCCGTCGCTCTCGGTCTTGTCCGCCGCCCCAGCCGCCGCGTTCACGGCGGTGTGACAAGGCGCGA